AACCCACACTCACGCCCTCATTTGGACAGCGATGAAATAATCGTTCTTTTCTAACGCAAGCTCTCTCCCTTTCCGTTTAAAATAGACGTCTGTCATATTCATTAGAGGTCGCTTATGTATAGTAATAGTATGTTAATGTATGAAATCGTTGTCATTTTCTATTGGGCTGTCTTTTCATTTGATCATAATCGTATTTTTACTTAATACTCTTTTTGATAATCATAATCAAAGAGAGAAAAAAGGGCGTTATCGTTAATATTGCGTAGACTTTTCTATATTAACTGCCTATATAATCTTTTTATTCAGTATAGACATTTAGATAGATATATATACAAAGTTACTTGTGATGACAACAGAAAAACCAAATGTGATATTTGTTATTGGTGCGCCAGGCGCTGGTATGTGTATTTTAATATGGATTTTTTGTATTTACTTATCTTTTGCATCAGGTAAAGGTACACAATGTGATCGAATTTCGAAGGTTAGAATTGAAAATATTTGTAAATTAAAAGAAAAGATTTTATATTATAGAACTATAATTATGATCATTTATCTGTTGGTGATCTTCTTCGAGAAGAAACTGATAATTCTCATTCAGATTTAGGTAGACAAATTCAAGAAACAATGCAAAATGGTTCTCTTGTATCTTCTGAGATAATTTGTAAATTAATTGAAAATGTACGTAGAGATTTTTATATTTCACATTCATATTTAATTCTCATATGTTTTGTTCATCAAGGCAATGAGAAAGAATGGCAGAGAAAAGTATTTAATTGATGGTTTTCCAAGAGATATGGAGAATATTGATGAATGGAAAAAATCCATGAGTGATAAAGTTATTCTTCAATGTGTACTTGTTTTTGATTGTGATGAAAAGGTATAATGAATTTAAGCATAATTGTTATTGTACAATTTAGTATTTTAAGGTTAGTATTGATCGATGTATGAAACGTGGTCAAGATAGTGGACGAGCTGATGATAATGAAGAAACATTAAAAAAACGGTAAACTTTTGTTCTATAAATAAACGCAACTATTCATTGAATTATATTGTCTAGAATTGCTACATTCAAAGAATCTACTGAACCAACAATTGAATATTATGAAAAAAAGAATTTAATTAAACGAGTTGATGCAACACATGATGTTGAAAAGGTTTTATTAATAAGCAAAAAAGAAGCATTTTTACTGAATTAATATTTTATTTTAGGTCTATCAAGATGTTCAAAATGTAATGAAAAAAATTTTAGATCAACAAAACAATTCCAAATAATAAAATTTTCGAAAAATTGAATTTTTTTTATTCAAGCGTGTATTTAATAAAGTTTTTATATTTGTATTTTAATAAATTAATTTACAGTAAATATTTGTAGTTAGGGGAAAAAAGCACGATATATTGACATATTGAGGGTGTGAATGAGGCTAATAGAAGAACACAATACTCACACACTCAAAAGAACGAACACTCATTCATGAAAAATAAGAACAATATTGTCAACATCACCATTATTATTGCCTCCAGCTATGCGAGTCATTGTAACAAGAACTTTGAAAAAACGAGTACCAACTGGTACAAGTCCATTTGCTTGTCGAAAGAGCAATGAAGTTATATAATTTCGATCTGTTTCGAGTACCGGTCCAAGAATAGTGGTATTACCTACTGTTTGATTAGTTCGATCGAAGAACATCAATGACACTTGAGCATAATCTTTTTGATCCAAGTAGCCACCGATCCAAGCTGAAAAATCGAACCAGATTATCTGATTATCAATAAGAATAGGATCAACAAAATGTGTAATGTTTTCTGTTTGCCACATTTGAGTCACTGAAGATATTTGTCCATAGAAATGACACTGGCCACGATTACTGTATTAAAAGAGAAATATGAATAAGTTATTTTCGATTAGTTTACTTTACCTTGGACCCGGTGATGTAGGTGTTTGCCCACCAAAATCCACATTGGTATAATATATTTGTGTTATTGGTCCATTATAACTCCAACTAATTGGACTTGAAACATTACCATATGGTGCACATGGACCACTTTCTGCGTCACCGTTAATTAACACATTGCCTGTATATACTTATAAAATAAAATAGATTATCATTTAACGTTCGATTCAATGAAAAAATAGTTCGTTAACTTACTCAAATCACTAGTTCTGTTTGAAAAACTAAGCACACTGCTAAGATTATCAAGTGTTATTTTAACATTTCCTTCTTCCAGTTGTGCATAGTAAAGAGTACAATTTTGATTCTTTTGATTAAAATTCGCTGTAATACACCAACGATTAGCATAACATTGACAGGCACATGCATCTTGTGTGAATACTGGAAATATCGTCAATACACGAGAATTATTATTCACTGGAATAAATTCAGTAAGTTGATATACAATCATATTTATCGTTGACGATTTTGTAAAACAAGCAAATAGAATAATTATCAATCTTACCAACATTCTGTTAACTATCATGTTGTTGAATGAAAATATTTAATTATGCCATTCTTTTTTTTCTTCTTTACAGATGTTTAAACCTTATTTCTCATTGTTGAGTATAGTTATCATTATTATGTATCACATGAAGCGCAAAATAATATTAAAAAAAATACTAAGAAAAAGCGTGTAAACAAGAAGTTACTGGAAAATAGAGGAAGTCATATTTTTTTTTCTTCAGAGAAAACTAATGTCCAATGTTATTTCCTCTGCTTTGAATTGAATATATGATATAATTTTGAATACTTGATAACAACATCGCCTTTCTTACTCGTTTTATTGACAATGCATGCATAAAGCAATCATATAATAATTCGAGATTACAAAACAAAAAATAATGCAAGTAGTGTGAGAACAATGAGTAAATTGGTTCTTGTTTTTAATATTCTCGTTACATTATTTGAAATTGCTTTCTGGATTACATGTATTGTTCTAATAACTAATAGTGAATTAGTTTTCAACACATATTGTCGTTACTAAAACATTGTTTCTCTTTTTCATATTTTATTTACCCATACCCACATTCACATTATCAAAAATATCTTTACAGACCTTCAATATAAATAGTTTATGGAGAATTTCAAATAAAAAAAATAAACAATGTTTCTTATTTAAATCTTGAAGATATCTTTTTATTATAAAAAATGAAAAGAACTATTACAAACTTATCTGACATAGATACATCACGTTAGCAATAATAAAACCAAAACAAATATCAAAATTGCAAAAATAACGAGAAAAATTGCACCTAACATAATTATTTGACGCCGAGCCGAACTCTTTAAATAGAAAAATAAATAAATAAATATATATATATGCCTGACATGTAAATGAAAATTTTAAGGTAATATGATAAATTATAGGTTTTGTTAAATGTTAATCAATAGAGTTTAGGAAAATGCAGCGATGTTATAATTATTTCATATATTCATCATTACTCAGTTAATCATGCATAATGAAATCAATTTTTTAATTAGTAAAAATTCTCTCCAAATTATAAATAAAGTTAGCATTTAGAAGCGGTAAATATATGAGAAATAGAATACCTGATATTCGCGGGCCCTTCTAATATTAACAGCGGTCTGGCGTTGTTCCCTCTCAGCTCTTTGCATACGATCTTCAATGGTCTCTAAAAAAATATTATTTGGTTTCATCAATTCTGTATTTCTTTTATATTATTTCGACAAACTTACGAATTTTAACACCTTGTTCACTAGTAACTTGCGCCATGGTGTTGAACGATTCATTGACTGTAACCACACCTTCCTAAATAGAAAAATAAGAAGTATATTTGTAATTCTTCGCATAAAAATGTACTAGGTAAAATTTCAAAACGAATTGTATGTGAGATGACTCGTTAATACTGCTTTCAACAAAAATCAAATAAAATCCATTGGATAGTACCTGAAGGTGGGGGTGGGTTTGTTTGAAGAAGACACACTCACCAACACCCTTAAGACATGACGATTCTTTAGAAATCTTAGCTGTTAGCCGATAAAATTTCAAACCATTTTAATATTATGAAATATTTTAATCATGTACCTCAACATTATGTATTTCTTCGTCACGTTCTGTTACTGCTCTCATTACAGTTTCTTGTTGACTTGGTGTAACAGTTTGTCGTTGTTGTTGTTGTTGTTGTTGATAATGTGTCGGTGCTGGGGTGGGGTAATTAGCAAGTAATGGACTCGATATATCTTGTTGGTGAAATTGAATTGCGTTTGAACGATTGAAATTTTTTTTTTCTTTTCGTAAAGCAGTATATTTTACTTCGCGAAAACGTTCTGGTATTGTTACATGTTGTTTTGCTAAAATTTTACTTAAAATCTTTCGAAGTTTCTAAAAGAAATAAACCCAAATTTGATATATATAAATATATTCATATATCATTTTATTTTACCTTATCAACGTTTGTTAATTCACGGATATCCTTCATGTTACGTCCTGAAGTGAACTATTGAATGATACTTTATTGTCGAATAAACTATTTCACACACGTCTGTATATATCATGGAATATCCGTAAGAGAAGGAATATTCCAAATGGAAATATTACTCAACAAGAACAGAGATTATTCCAAGAGAAAAGAATCCTTGTGAATACAAGAGAACGAAAAAAACATATATATGAAATATATATATATACTAATACCATGTATAGAAAAGAAAGAAAGAGCTAAAATCAACGAACGATAATAAAAACTTTTTAGTCTTCATCTATATGAGTAATACATATAGAAACGAAAACTTTTCAGTCTTCGTCTATATGAATAATAAATATAGAAACTAAAGCAGTTTTTTCTTCATCTATATGCACTCGTGTATAATCAGAAAAGAACAGATAAAATTTTCATTAAGTATTACTTTATGTTTCTTTGTTGGTAAATCTTGTATGAACAGATTATATCTGACAAGAATTATTCAGACAGCTCTTGTACAATTCTTGTTTTTAGAATCTTGTATGATTTTTGCTGCATTCTTATAAACTGAATCCTATGAAATCTTATAAAAAAGCAGACAACAAGATGATATAGGATTCGATGCTACGATCCTACGAAAATTCTTGTATATTCTGATATCTGAGTTTTTCACCTGGGAGTTTACGATTTTGTTGTATTTCATGATTTTCAGTTAGTGGCAATACTTCAGGAATAGTAGGTATGTAGGCGGCATTCATTGTAACCATCTTTTCAGTTTCTAGTTTGTATTGCATTTAAACGATTCACAATTGAGCATTTCCCTGAAATATAATAATAACTATTTGTTAGTGGATGTTTTACTATTTTTTAGATTTACTTGCAATAATAAGTGTTACATTATATCTATAATAAGCGATGTTAGAAGATTTATTAAGTGTTTATTTCAATGAAAATTAACATAGAGTATAGTAGTAAATGTCATCACTCATATTATATACTGAAAATGGCGTTATTCACAGAAACTTTGTCATTCTTTCTTGTAGAAATCTTGAAGTTTTTCCGATAATGAAAAAGTTAATTTCAGCTTAGGCATTTTTCAAGACTATTTAGTTTTGATTCATAAATATTATCGACTTCTGAGTTTTTATTGTATCTGTAGTACTCCATATTTATTTAAATGAAAATTATGTTATTAGAAAATGCAATTTCTTTGGTTCAACTTCTATATATTCATTTAATTGATATGTAGAGTTTCTAAAAATATCTACTTACACATTTCTAATACTCAGTTCTGTTATTTGTTTCATATTTTAATGATAAGATAGTAATAGAGGTTAACTGAACGAATAAGTTAATTATGTATTACAATAAAAATATTATAGAAATAGAAAGAAAAACAAACGATATACAAAATATCTATCTATTGTGAAGGTTTATATGAGTATTTCTCAACTTAGTAAACTCTCGCATATATAATTAATTTATAAATAAATTATTTATTATAGTTAAAAAATCTTTCTTTCATCTATACAATATAATTTAAATAATTTGCATTAGAAGGAAAAATAGTTTTACGGATTAATCTAATATAAAAGCGAATAAGAATATTCAATACAATGATATATAGAAAAATAGTAACAACACAACATAAATTTATAATTTTAGTAAATAATTGATTAATCTAATGTTCTGATATTCATATCGGTGGGTTGTACAATATTTGGTTTTATCCAACAATTATAAAGATATTGTTTAACTTGTTGACGAAAAGAACTTGATATGATAATAAATAAATAAAAACTTGCCTTAAATAGTTAAAAATATTAATTAGAAAAAGAAATTGAATATAACTTACTCCAAATTCAATCGTACTATTAAGACTAACCACATTTAAAATAAAAGTTTCTTTATTTTTTTGTTCAATTTCTTTATTCCATTGAGCAGTACTTGTTGAATAAATGTTAAAGAGTGTATATGGAGCAACTCCAATAAGAATCAACAATACCTGACCACAAACCATCAGAGTTAATTGTCGATCTATACCATGTAACTGACGAACATTTGTCAATAGACGCATATTTCGATAAGCAAGTATACCAAATATGATTAAAATACTAATAGGAATTATAGTACAAAAAGACCAAAAATGAACATAAACATAATACATTGATAAAATAGAATTATCAATGATACATGTACCAGATCTAAAAATAAAAATAAAATTTAAACATATACGATCTTGAATATCTCTTAATTGAATAAATTCACTAACTCTATATTGGCGAATATGAGCGTTGGTGTACCGTGAACGATCCAAAAAATGATAATGATAATAATTGTACGGTAGACTAATTTCATATTACTTAACTGACGAAGACGAGCACTACGCGATGTAACTAAAAATTGATTTATAGTTGATAACCAATAACAGGTTATGCCAAAACCAGGAACAATTATATAAATAAATTGCCGTAATTTACATAATCCAATCGACGTACGTGTTAAATCAATATTGAAACCTATTGTAAGAATACGTGCTAATGTACCATTGATTAAATGAATACATCCTGCTATTGCTGATAATAACATAAAGAATGTACTTGGTTTTGTACGATATGAACGTTTCGTTGACATAATAACTATCGTCATAAAACCACCAAAAAAATTAAAAATAAATAAAAAAGTACCTACATATATAACAAAAATTTGAGTTATATATATCCATGATGACATTCTTTGTACTGTATGAATAAGTGCTGAGTATCAATCTGTAAAAATTAGATATGACATTCTTTTCCATATAATTTATTGCAAAAAAAGATAGATTCACATTGTATTATGAAATTTATTCTACTGGATACAAGTATGAGAAGTCAAAAGAAACTAAGCGACTCGATGATTTCATAAAGATATATTTTTTTTCAAATCTCATATCAAACGAAAAATATAGATGAAAGATTAAAAAACGAGAGTTTTATGTGATAATTATTATTCTAATTAAAAAAAAACTATATTCTTATTAATAAAAGAGATAAAAATATACTAATTAAAGACTAGGTACTGAGAGAGATATGAGAATAAAATTACAATCAATTTGTTTTTTATGAAGTGAAGATATCGATATTGTGAAAAAAAAGTTATTTTGTAATAACTTCATTTGTTAATAACTAATAAATGAAATAAAATAAAATATAGATTAATATTGACTTTATTAGTAAAAAGACAGTCACACCCACATTTTCAAGATAGAAAATAAATTCGGCTCATTAGTAACAACATTTCAACATAAAAACCATACTGTGATTTTAACTAAGTTTCAAACACAATCTGCTTCGTCTTTGGTTGGTCAAAGAAATACAAGATACAAATTTTATCCGACGAATTACCAGATGCAGTTGATTTTCTTTTGTTAGCTTTTATCGATCAAAATACAATGTCTCGAGGTCTAGAAAATAACATCGGTAAGCACTCAGTAAAAGTATGTTCATACTACTGTTTATATATTTGTATTACAGTGTAAAGTTTCCTAGAAATAAATTCTTAAATCCTCGTCAATAAAAAAGATCGCAAGGTAGACTATTGAAGGACATGCAAAATCCGGAGAATATGTTAAGACTGCAGTCAGGTAACTAAAGTAAACTATTCAGTATTGTATTATGATGTTGGAGGGAGATAGATAGCTCCCGAAAATGGGTTAATAAGAGTTAATCTCATCTACAAAAATGCTCTGACGAACTTCTTCCTATATGTTTACAAGATCATGCTGGATGCAGTGCGTATGGAAGTCTTTTTGTTTTAATTTTCATTTTTCTAACGAAGACAACGCATAACAAGTTCAATCACTCTGCAAATCTTCTAAAAATGACACTCTACTTATATTCTTAAATACAAAAAAAGGAGAAACTAAGTGGATAGATACTTCATCACAACGAATATATACGATAGAAAACAAATGATTAAATGAAATATGTATTGAAGTAGAAAAGAAAGTAACAGAGCAAAACATAGATACGATGATAGGAAAATACAATGAGAAAGAAAAAGAAATGAAAATAGCCAATTGGGGGAAAATATTGTTGCCGATACAAGCATGAAAAAATGTTTTGAATCGTTAAAATTAGTTTGATTCGGTATAAGATCAATAAAAAGTCATATAACCAAATAAATTTTCTTCTCCAAATAGTTATGCTTTTTGTGCCTGTGACCAAACTTGTTCAATGAAATCCTTGATATCTTTGGCAAGTACATCAGGTCGTTCTAACGCAGCAAAATGGCCGCCCTATAAGATGACAAAGCAAAGACAAGTTAGTTATTGGTTGAAGAGAAATCCAAAGCTTCCCTTTGTATGCTGGCGGAAAAATACAAGATTTCCTGTGGTCGCAGCCCAGCTTTGAGGAACGGGCGCAATCTCCTTAGGAAACCACGAGAATCCGAATGGTTTCTTAATGTACCACTTTGGGTTTTCATGTGCTCCAATATTGCCAGGTGTCAAGAGCTAGAAAGGAGAAGATAACAAGGCAGAACAACGAGAATTGAACTGAAAGACTTACCTGACGATAAGGATATAGGGCGCGAGGCAATGTCTCGGTGACCCAGTAGAGTGTGACTGACTCAAGGATCGTATCCAGTGGCAGATCTTCATCAGTCCATTCCAAGAATTTCTCCCCAATCCTACAGTATGAAATAATCTGGGTTAAGTGAAAAATATAGCAAAAGAAATCTTTCACAATATCGATCTTGTACTTATTTTTGAATTACTTAGACATTTTGGTTTTGAAAAAAATTGAACGCTATTTTCCACTAATTTATAAATTATTCAACTGTCTGTAATTTTTCGCTAATGATCACATTGCCAAACAGTTGAAAAGGTCATATGGCTATATTTTTATTGCTTTCAAAGAAATTCAAAAGAAATCCAACGGAATAGGTTTCTGAAGCAAGTGCTTCAATCTGCGAAGCTATTCCAGATCTTCCTGCTACGTTTTCGAATTAATAACGAATGTAATGGAACAGATTTA